GAGTGCCGTCCGGAGGTAAGTGCTGAGCCCGGGCCGGTTACACGCGGGACGCCGCTGTCCTTGCGGGGGTGCCGCCACGGGAGCTCCCTCTCTGTGTCTTGTCTCCGCGGCACCGGGGTTTTGCTTGTAGGGTCTTCCGAGGAGAGAGTGACACCAAGTGCCCTTCGAAAGGCGCACCCTCCTCCTCGGCGCGGAAGGGTCACGGGGAGGCCTCGGGAAGCCCGACTGCAGTTCCCTTTGCGCGGGGCCGCCACCCTGGCTGCTCGGGCTGCGAACGCACCGACAGAGAGCGTGAGAGCATGCTGTGCTTGTGTGCGGGACGCTGTGGAAACGCAAGGCTTAGGATCAGTGTAACCAGCGGTTCTCAACCTGTGGGTCGCGACCCCTTTGGCGGTGGAACGACCCTTTCACAGGGGTCGCCTAAGACCATCCTGCATATCAGATATTTACATTACGATTCATCACAGTAGCAACGTTACAGTTATGAAGTAGCAACGAAAATAATTTTATGGCTGGGTCACAACATGAGGAACTGTATTTAAAGGGCCAGAAAGTTGAGAACCACTGATACCTGTCTGCCTTTTGGAGAATACTTCTGTAATGCCAAATGCCGGGTACGAAAACCATGTAAAAACCCAAACGAATCTATCTATCCGTAGGAAACAAAAAACCCTGGGACATGGTGGTTGCCTTGTGGTAATGGAGTTTTGAGTTATTTTCTTGATTTTCTATATTAAACGGTCGTGTTTTGTAATTTTTTAAAACTCACTTTATTTTAAAATAAATAAGTTTGCACTATAGTTTGTGAGAACTTGCACATTTAGGCCTTATTTGGACTTTTTTCTTTTTCTTTTTTTACTTTTCGTTTTCTACTTGGAATCTGCCAGGTGCCAAATTCCTGTAGGATACAGAGTTTTCCCCACGGGGGAGAACACCAACACTAGGTCAGATATTTAGTATAAAACCTATTGAAGACCAGTTTTATTGAATTACAGAATAATATCTCAATGCTTGATCCTAGACTTCATCCTACTCTTTGAAGGTTACATTAGTGCAGAGGAGGTGATACATTTGCTATGTTTGGGCTTTATTTGTAACTATTATTTTGTCATCTTTGGTACAATTAACTTCATTATCCAAGATCATCATTGTGAACATCCATTTTTTGCTTGTGGCCTCAATATTGTGCACTGAATTTTCCTTCCCTATGCTAACTGTGTGAGCTTAAGAACTTGCCTGCGGTGCTTGCTGTTCTGCTCCTGGCCTTCTGGTTAAAACATAGTGGGGTTAGGAGTGAGTCTGTGTCTGCTCATTGTTAAGTGCAGAGGCTGTTTCTAGGCCTTGGGACACAAACTACTAAATTCTCTCAGTGCACTTTCCCCCTTGGTCTTAGTCTCCTGCTTTCTTCTACCTTGTATGCCTTTCATTTACTTCTTGCCTGTGGCAAAATTTACGAGGGCATTTGGGCTCGCATACCTTGTTTTATTGCACTTTGTTGCACTTAACAGGTATTGCATTCTTTTTACTGAAGGCAAGACCCTTCACCAGCCAAAAGATTAGAACTTGCTCTATTGCAAAACTCACTTTATTGTGGTGGTCTGGAGCCAAATCTGCAGTATCTGTGCAGTATTTCATTTGAATTGCTACAAATAATGTGCTGGATAGTAGCTTCTTTTACTGTTATTTTTAAATTACTACAGTTAGCTTCTGTATTGATTTCTTATCTAGGGATCATTTTGGAAACCACTAACCTTTGCACCCAGCTTGCTGGGGCAAGTATAGGGAAAATATTTATAGAGAAACATAGCATTTTAGTATGTAAGTGTTGGGAATAATTAGAAATCCGTCTGCCTGTTTGCAGTCCTCTGCAGGTCATTAGTTTCCCATCACTTCAGTTGCACTTGAGTGGAACAGCAATGAGAGCCAGTCAGGAGGACTTTGAAAGTGCAATGAATCAGGTAAAACTGTTGAAGAAGGATCCAGGAAATGAAGTGAAGCTAAGACTCTATGCACTATATAAGCAGGTAAATGTCTATGGTCTGATATAATTTAGAAATGTTTTGAGTAGATGGCTCCTCAAATTGATAAACTGTATGTTTTACTGAAATTCAGCTTTACTATTTTTAGGGTTTGTTTTGCTGCCTTTATTTTTATTTTATTTTTAAATTTTTATTGATGATTTTTTACAGAGAGGAAGGGAGAGGGATAGAGAGTTAGAAACATCGATGAGAGAGAAACATCGATCAGCTGCCTCCTGCACACTCCCTACTGGGGATGTGCCCGCAACCAAGGTACATGCCCTTGACTGGAATCGAGCCCGGGACCCTTCAGTCTGCAGGCCAACGCTCTATCCACTGAGCCAAACCGGCCAGGGCTGTTTTTCTGCCTTTAAAGAGTGTATTAACCTAAAAATAAAATGTCAAAGTGAAAGGCAACAAGTATTTATTTGAGGTCACAGAATTGCAATTCAGGGTACAGATTCAGGCAGAAACACAAATTGCATCCCAATTACAGGGTGAAGGCAAAGGTTTTTTATAAGAAAGGAAGGGAAATGATTACATGAATAAAGGAAAGAAATTTCTATTGGTGTTGACACATTGAGTTACTGATTCTATCTTCAGAAAGGTAAAATCTTTCCTTGTGGCCCGGGTGTCTGCTTTCCTGTAGTTTTACAAATAATTGCTTTGGCCCAGTCCAAAAATTATTTTGCCAGTTCACAAACATTTCAGAGGTTCCGGGAACAAAATGTACAAGCAATTTTTCTGCAGTGGCTACTTTGGCTCTATTTTAAAACCGTTCCACTTGTGTGAACTTCTCACAGGAGTATACATGTGTTTGTATATTATATTTTCAAACACTGTTAAGGCAAAAAGTAACCCCTCAGGACCACTCCAGAGGAAAAGAGACTTGAAGGACATAACAACCAAATGTGTAGACCTTATTTGGCTGCCGATTCGAATAAATCAACTGAAAAAGTTGTTTTGAGAAAGCTGGGGAAATTTGAATATGGACTGAGTAGAAACTGTTAATAGTATAGTGGTTATATGAGAAAATGCTGATTTTTTTTTTTTTCCTGAATGCATATTAAGAATGTAGGGTGTGCCCTAGCCAGTTTGGCTCAGTGGATAAAATGTTGGCCCTAAGACTGAAGGGTCCCTGGTTCGATTCCGGTCAGGGGCATGTATGTAGGCTTGATCTCCAGTCTGGTCGGGGTGTTTCCTGGTGTGTGCGGGAGGCAACCATTCAATGTGTCTTTCTGGCATTGATGTTTCTTTCTCTGTCTCTCCCCGTCCCTTCCGCTCTCTCTAAAGAATCAATGGGAAAATATCCTCAGGTGAGGCTTTTTAAAAAAAAATAACGTAGGATGTGCCCTAGCTTATGTTTCTCAGTGGTTAGAGCATCTGCACACACACCAAAGGGTCATGGGTTTGATTCCCAGTCAAGGGCACCTGGGTTGCAGGAGCCCCAGCTCCGTAGTCGGGCCTCATGCAGGAGGCAACCAATAGATGTCTCTCTCCCTCTGTCTCTCTAGAAATCAATGGAAAAAATATATCCTCAGGTGAGGATTTAAAAAAAAAGAATGTAGGAGTGAAATTGAATGGTGCTTGGCGTTCACTAAAATAATTAAAGCAAAAAAGAAAGAAAAAGATGGAGGAAGCAAGTATGGCAAAAATGATAGTTGTTGATTGGGTGATGAGTATTGGAAATTCATTGTAATATTTTATTTTTGTGTATCTTTGAAAACTTTTATAACAGAGTTTCAAAATGTAAATTTTAAGTTGCAATGTCTAAAGACTAGGGCTCCTGTGTGTTATCTGTTATTCTCTTCCTGTGATTGGCATGAGCCTCTCCTACCAAAAAGAGGTCTGACCTTTGCCCTTGGCTTCTGGGCAAGATTACCTTAGAGTACCCAATATCTAAACCCTTGAAATGCCATGCCCGATAGGAGTGTCTTTGCCTGCAGAATCCAACAGTGTGATTTAGAGTGGGACTGGCCATAAGATAGTAACAATGTGATTTACAGTGGGACTTCAGTTACATATTCCATGCCGATGGAGCTCACGATGAAAACTCTGAACACTGAGACTTGAGTGAGCTTCCCTGGTAGGTGATAGATATCCATGTGTGTTGTCAACATCAATTCTGGGAGAGGTACACTGTCCTGACCCCACAGTGGGGTGGGAGGGGTATACTTCCCCAGACTTCACCTTATGTATCGCCTCCCTTGCTGATGTTAATCTGTATTCTTTCCTGGCAGTAAATTGTAATCGTGAGTATAACAGCTTTCAGTGAGTTCTGTGGGTCATTCTAGCATATTTCTGGACCTGAGAGTGGTAATAGGAGTCCTCTAACCTTGCTTTTGGCATTAGAAGTAGGGAAAGTTTTGTGGACTTTGTTGCCTCTAATTTCTGAGGTGGTTAACTCTTGCAGTCACTTTTGTTTCTTTGTCTTTGGACAGTCTTAGCTTTGTTTACTGCCTTTGTTTTTCAAAGCTCTTCTTTCCTCTTTTAGCTAATTATATTATGTAATTTAACATTTTTAGTTAATTTTTAGTAGTTATTTAGTGGAGTCTTAAATTGCCATTTCTGAAAAGTAGTTGATGAGGTAGGATATTTTATTCATCTCAAGACACTCACTCCACCTACCCTCAAACAAGTAAAAAGTCTCGTTGCTTTTTGCTTTCTACTCACATGTCCTTTGGTTCAGTTTCCTAAGGGCCAGTGGCTCTGGCAGCCCCATCCTGCTCCCTAAGCTACAACTCTGTTGCTCAGTCACCAGAAATCCACCACTGAATTAGTGGCAGTTTTTTGTATTTTTGAATGGGCTTTTAGGATAGACTGTGAGTTTCTAAATGTTTATTGGCTAATTACCTTTAAAGATTGTTTGCTTGAATATTTTATTTATATGTGAAAAATGTGATTATCAATTTAAAACTAATGAACTATTAGAATTTTTGAAAAGTGCTTTCCCACAACCTTTATCTTGCAGTATTTTTATATGTAGGTGGTTATAACTTACTAGAGGCCCGGTGCACAAAAATTTGTGCACTCGGGGGGATGGGGGGGGGTCCCCCAGCCCGGCCTGTGCCCTCTCGCAGTCTGGGACCCCTCGGGAGATAACGACCTACTGGCTTAGGCCTGCTCCCGGGTGGCAGAGGGCAGGCCCAATCCCTAAGTGTAGCCCCTGGTCAGGCTCAGAGCAGGGCCGATTGGGGAGTTGGGGCGCCACCCCCTGTCATGCACAGAGCAGGGCGGATCGGGAGGTTGCGATGCCTCCCTCAGTCATGCTCAGGGTAGGGCCGATTGGGGGGTTGGGGCACCGCCCCCTGTCACACTCAAGGCAGGGTCGATGGGGAGGTTGCGGCGCCACCCCCTGTCACGCACAGAGCAGGGCCAATCAGGGGGTTGGGGCGCTGCCCCCTGTCACGCACAGAGCAGGGCCAATCAGGGGGTTGGGGCGCTGCCCCCTGTCACGCACAGAGCAGGGCCAATCAGGGGGTTGGGGCGCTGCCCCCTGTCACGCACAGAGCAGGGCCAATCAGGGGGTTGGGGCGCTGCCCCCTGTCACGCACAGAGCAGGGCCAATCAGGGGGTTGGGGCGCTGCCCCCTGTCACTCACAGAGCAGGGCCCATCAGGGAGGTTGGGGCTCCGTACCCTGTCACACACAGAGCAGGGTCAATCAGGGGGTTGAGGCACTGTCCCCTGTCACTCACAGAGCAGGGCCCATCAGGGAGGTTGGGGCTCCGTACCCTGTCACACACAGAGCAGGGTCAATCAGGGGGTTGAGGCACTGTCCCCTGTCACTCACAGAGCAGGGCCCATCAGGGAGGTTGGGGCTCCGTACCCTGTCACACACAGAGCAGGGTC